CAAACCAATTCTTCTCCCGAGCCAGAATTTTAACCTCTGTGTCATCCACCGTGTGGTTGGAGGCCTTGAGGTGGAGATGAACAGCCGACTGTGGCCCACTAGAGTTTTCTCTACGATGTTGGTAAAGTCGTTTCTGTAGAGTTTGTTTGGTCAGTGACATGCTAATGAGTTAGGAGGGGTGAGACCTGCACTCCACTTGAGCATCCCAGCAGACAATAGGTCTGTGACATGCTAAGGAGTTAGGGTCGTTAGCCTCAGCAGGGTCGTTAGACCTGCTCCCTTCTACATCAAGCAGACCGTAGATTGTTTACGAGTTAGTATCAGGATTAGGGTGTGGCTGACCACACCCATAGGTTATAAATCTCCAACGCGCGGTCCGAGAATTCATTCCCTGAAGAAGTCCCCAGGTTGAGGACGAAACGTCGGGAAAACTTGCTAAGAAGTACAGATGATGGGTGAGAAACCTTCCTTTGCTTTGACTAATCCCTGTACGACTGAGGACTTACACAAACTTATCTACAGTAAGTTAGAGCTCAGTAAGTTAAATTTTCATTAATATGCATTGTACCTCCTTTTAACACCCAAATATATAAATAAAATAAATACGTAAAATTCAGTATATGAAAACTATACTAAACTCCTTTTTCACTTTCTGGGTCATTCTTTCTTGTAGACAAACTTCATGTGTTTTATATGAGAAACAAAACGATAGGTACCCCAGCTTGCTGCGTACAAAAAATAACTAAATCATCATGCATCTACAAGTTCTTGAGTCTAGATGAGATTCTATTAAATTGCTCAAAATCGCACTTTTTTCTATTCTTGTATCACGTATGGACAGACATACAGTATATCTCACACCTTATCATAGCCCTGTAAACATGTTGGACTTGTTAAATGTAATTCTCTCGCTCTCAACTTCCAGATTCCTCCAGTCTGCAGCTGTTCTTGAAGCTGGAGTCATTTCTTATTTATTGGGTTTTCCTTGCAGCTGGTGTGTCTGCACAGGTTTCCATCTGAACTTATTCATGCCACACTTTTCACTGCTGCCGTTTCAGAGTGTGAGAGTGTGTGTTACATGCTTGTGTATTCCCTGAAGAGCTGGCCTCTGCTGCTGCTGCCGTTTTTCCTTATATGGACGTCAGCTTTTGAAGGAGGGATGTGAATGAGACTGGAGACGAGAGGAGGCCAAGGAGAGGAATACAGATGGAGGACAGATGGGGACAACATCAAGTGAAGACATGGAAATGGACACGAAAGTGGGTCATGTGACGCTGCCATCAAGATATTGACAAACCTGTCATTTGTGTCCAAGGAGAGAAGTTACAATTAAGTAAAGTTACTGTGAGATTTCATAACACTTTGAAGCAACTTTTGTTAAAGTTAAACTCATCATTCTATCAATGTGCAGAAGCCTGTACTTTTCCACTTCATGTTTTGTCTATCTGAAGGCCAAGCTACATGGCACCGTGGCAGCTGCTGATTGGAGGTCTCCATGCCTCCGCTCTGTATAATACACTTGCATTCTGTTGTATCTGTGTTCGTGTTGTTCGTGCTGTCTCTACCATTGACAATAAAACATGTCTTCTGTCTGAATTTAAGACACGATCCCAGACTTTGTCATCTTCTTCAGTTATCTTGTGCTTGAAAGTTGACATTTGTTGGCTAAAGATTTTTTTTCACTAACTGTTAGTTGTGTAAAGCCATTCATGGTCAAGTAAACATGTGTTCTTTTTTCAAATTTTGAAACGAACATTATGAAGTTTCCGCCCCCTTTTCTCAATAGTGTGTATAGGCCCTTTAAAGCGATAGTCTGAATGAATAAAACATTTTAAGTTGTATTAAATTGACCTCCTTTTTCATTTTTAATTCATTCATTTTTCTGAATTCTAATATTACGGGTAAGTCCCGCCTTCCCTTCTCTTAGCTATAACTAGAAATCCACGATGGCATCCACGTTAACCAATCAAGTGATGCCAAGGGCTGTCAATCATCAGCGCTCATGCTCGTAGCTGCGCACATGCTCAGTTGTCTCTGAATCAAGCCTCCATTAGGCTCTAGAACTACCTGAAAACTGGACAAAGAATTCTGAACATCCAATCAGAAAGGAAGGGGGAGGAGCTTGGGTCGTTTTTTTCAAATCCTGTACCTCTCTCTTTATTCTGACAAACTCCAGACAATCACTTTAACATTCTCTGTGTTAGGTGTGTCTGAGATTATTTATCCTCTCTGATGGTAAAGCTGCCCATTCTCGTCAAAAGTCATCAGGATCCTGTAAATTCCTGGGCCACCTTACACAAATTACGTGTTTCAAATCTGTGAAATTATCAATATGAAATTTCCCATGATGTAGACCTAGTTGGTGGAAGCTGAAGTGAAGAGCTGATCACGTGGAGAAAAGGGGGTTTGGATCTCTTATAAAAAATGTGAAGCAATTTTGGTTAAGCTTTTCACTCTAACAATGCATAAGACGGTGATTTTCCACTTGATGTTTTGGTTATCTGAAGGCCGAAGCTACTGGCACCGTGGCAGCTGCTGATTGTACCGTCTGTGGTATAGTATCACATGCACACAGAAAATCTTTGGTCGTGTCTTTTTACCTGGAATAATACCTGTACACAACCCCAGACCCACATCCCGTTTGCCATTCTCTTCAGGGGGATGGGGAGGAGGAGGGTTGTGGCACAAGCTGAAGCTATGAAAGTCCAGCGCGCCCTGGTTTGATGCAAGGTTTTGGCCGTGAATTGGTGAATAGCAGAGGCTCAAGTGTGTTGTGGGAAAGGACTTGGAGTGAAGGTGGGTGAGATCGTGCCCACAGGAGACCAGTCTTCCAGTCTGAACATTTGCGATTACTTAATTTCTTAACCATTCAAATGCACCTGCTAACAAGAAAATATTGATATGATTGAAAAGAGGGAAAATGTGTGATCTCTATAATAACAAAACATGTCAAACTACCGGTACATAAAAATCATTTTCACAGACAACTTGAACATTTTGAAACTTCCTTTTCCTTCAGCATGCAGTGATTGACTTTTATTCACAGCTGTAAAAAAGCAAAAGTATACATATTTGGAAATTAGTGGAATAAATCATAGGTTTTCTGAAATAAAATGCTTTACAAAACATTATGAAGGCAAATATATCTTTGACCTTTTAAGAAAACTATTTACAATTGGTGATACGATCTGCAAACGCATCTCGGCCTTGTTTGACCCCCCAAGTCAGTTCTTTTCCATCCTGTTTTGCCGTTTCTGTTTACCTTGTATAAATATAGCTTCTCAGATCAATGTTGTCCTAGAAATAGCCCCAGAGTATTAGCTGTTTACGCTGTCTGCAGGCCTTGTCTCCTGGAGCTTTTGTGGTTTAAATGTCAAACATTTGAGTTCACTGACTATGTTTTGATAGCACGAGCTGCAGCAGCGCCAGCCACAGGGATTCTGTACGCGAAGGTTTGTTGGTCGGGATGAGGTTTGAAGGAAAGAATTCGGCCTAATACTTTAATTAAAGATTATCATAGACATTATATTTGGTTTGTTTGGAAGGAAGAGTTTCAAAGTAGAATTTCAAAGTTTGTAAAAAAAATCAGACCACATTATTTTGTCTTCATCTTTTTTTTAAACATTTAATTGTTGGCCTACTCGTTTCAAGAGATCCTGCGTTCCATCAGCTGTCAGACTGTACAACAAACCTGGATGAGTTTTCTGCTGATGGACACCTGACTTTTTCCTACGGGGATTCAATAAATAATAATAATAATGCCTCGGTTTTATATAGCGCTTTTTTGGACGCACAAAGGCGCTTCTCATGTCATTATTCTTTCACTCCAAACACAGTGTAATGAACTACCTACTACTACCTGCCCTGGGGCACACTGAAAGAGGCGAGGCAACCAGTATGTGCCATCGGCCCCTCCGACCACCACCAACCATTCACACACACACACCAGACTAGGCAATGGGGGTGAAGTGTCTTGCCTAAGGACACAACAACAACATACTGTACACTGGGAGTCGATAGTGAAAGTCTTGAGGTGGGCTCGAAACCCAAGACCTTCTGGCTCAAATCTATCTATCTATAAATCGTTCTAAGTCACTATTTCACACTTCTGGCTCAAAGCTGAGGTAGTCTCTGGATGATGGCGGTTGTCTCTTTTAGTCTAGTGAAGATATGATGGAGGCTAAAAATACATTCCCATGAAAACTAGTGATTTGTTTTCAGAGTGACGACCTACTTAGATGGATTTTAGCCCATAATTACATTTCCTTAGGTTTGAAAGTTAGACGTCCCAGCTTTTATGGAGACTACTACAATATCTAAACATCAGGGTATGGCACGGTGAATGTCTACCGTTGTGCAAACTTGAAATTAAATTTAACAGAAAGCACAAGTATATAAAAAATTGAAAAAAATGTGGCTGTATGCTCTGTTTGTTAGCATTAATAAAGGGAGCTCTTAGAGAAACAGGACCTAAAAAAGTAAGTATCCAGGCACGAGCCATTTACCATTTTCTAAGATTATATATGTTTTTTTCAGATATTCTTACAAGGCACACACCCACACACACATCCTCTCTAAAGCAACATTTCCTCTGAAGTCATGACTTTACAATGTCTCGGGTGAAAATCTCCTTCCGAGTCTCATAACAAACCATGGCTTATATTTGGTTTTCCACATTTCTGCTTTTTCATTTTGCTGCACGCTCTGTCCATCTTCCTTTCTCTCTCCACACTGCTCCTCCCAGCTGTTCAGTCCCACACGGCTCATGCCTAAAACAGACAGCGAGGGCGGGACGGGAGGCGGGACGTCAAAGCAGAACAGAGAGAGAGAAAGTCTGGACACATGGTCACTCAGTCTGAAGCAGGCGCCACATTCGCACGCTCCATAAGGATTACTGACCTGACTGGATATTGTCCTCTGCACACTTCCTGTAGGATTTTTCTCACCCTTGCGTCCTCTCTGTCTCTCCCCCCCTGTCCCCCACTCCTCTACCCCCCAGGATGTCGTGTGAGGAGGCGCAACTTCACAAAGAGCGGCTGCAGGCCCTTACGGTGAGTCCAGTTCTGTCTTCAATATATTATTACAGTATTTAAAAGGTGCGTAAATGTAAACTGCACTGTTGTCTAAAAATGGTTTCATTCAATTGCATTTGTTTTTATGATTTTAAAATATTCTGTCAAAAAAAATATGCTTTAAAGCTGAAGTAACTTTGAAACCACAACACATAAATGAGGTACAGTATGTCATAAAATCTACGTAACTGCAGGTCCTAGCTTTCTGAACTGGTTGGTTTTATAACATAGCTTTCACATGCATGTATTATTGGCCTCTGTCACATCTTTGGATCAGCTTCTTCAGCTCAAAGTTGTGGTTAGATTTGTTTCTTAAATAAGATTATTTCTGTTGGGACAAACCAAAATGTTTGGTACTGAAGCTTTAACCAACTCTCCACAAATTTCAGCTAGAATTTGGTTTTAATTTCTCTATTTAGACCGATAATTGTAATGTCAAAATCAAAGCAAGGCCAGCTTCATGTAGTGTCCTCAACCAGAAAAGTTACACAGTAATTAAGTATTTAAATAGTGTGTTCCCTATACTACTCTATGCCCTTGTTTTTTGATGGACAGAACGTCTTCAAATTGAGCCTCACACATCGCTTCAGAGGTGTCAATTTATACCAATAATCCCACACATGAATATTCAGGCAGAAAAATAAGAGACAGTGGAGCACGGTTGCGTCACTTCAAAACAAAGTTCAAGTTTGCCAAACTTTGACTGATCGCAGTGAGAGGGCAGACGCTGTGTCACCGGGACTTTGGAGACTTTTGACAGCAATCAACCAAATTTAGAAGAAAACATGAACGCAAAAATAAAATTACAGTAAAATGCTGCTAGAACATGTAAAATGTATATGTATGTCCAAGTAATGTATGTAAACATATTTTTTTATTTTTTCAATCAGTAAATAACAAAACACACATGGAATAACTTATGTTTTTTTTCTACCAGAAAGAGTATTTTAACCAGAAAAAAGCCTTGATAGTTGATTGGTTGAGTGTGACGTTGTCCGCCCTTTCTCATTTTTCTCTCAGATTGTTCATTTGGATGGATTTGTTCATTTTCTTGTAATTTGAAAGTGTTCTGTCTTTGTGACAAGCTAAAACTTTCTATTTCTTCACCTGCTGAATGGATTTTTGTCGTGATTATAGAAGGAGATTCATTTGAAATACAAACATGTACATTGAATTTCAAGTGAGTGATTTAAAGCCTCGGTGTTCAGTGCAATTTCTAATAAACACATCTCGTCATGGTGTGCTATTTGTATCCTGTAATAACTTCATGACGAGAACGTGGCACATTGCAAACACCTTGAAATTCAATTGGACTTGAGCTCCTACCGCTTAATGACATCACCACCTCCTACTCCCGCTGCTGCCGTCACATGGAACAAAGTCACTTCTGTGTGCGCTCTCGTAAAGTACCCAGGCTGTTTTCAGCTCTCCCCGTTCACGTCAGCTTCCAATTTTTACTATACAAACCAACATTGGAAAGTTAGCGGAAAGAGATTTATTTTTCCTACCCTTGCAGCTGTCTTGAGGCTTTTAGGTGCACGTATTTTTCCGATGTGGCAGGATGGCGGTCTTTGTTTTGATAGAATCTCCCAAAGTTTGGCTGCATATAGAACCTCATCTATTCAGTAGTCAAAAGCCTCAAAGTCACTGTGATTTGACGGTTTGGACGGAGAGCTGATTGGCTGAGTCTGGGTGGTCCTCTCTTTTTCACTTTTCTGTCTGAAAAAGCTGACAAGATACAGGCATGTGAAAACGTTATGAACTGTTTGGAGAGCGCAGAACTACTTTGATGGATTTTACATAAATACATCATGGTTGGTAACCCAGGTAACCCAGCTTTAAAGCATATTCTATCTAAAAATATTTGGGACTGTGAATATCCACTGTCAAACTTTAGCTAATATGAAAGATTGTCAATTTATTAATTTGTTACTATAGACAAGTAAAATTAAGATTATTAATCCCACAGTGGGGGATTTTCAGAAATGGTAAAATAAAGCCTAATTATTATCTCCTTATTAAAATCTCGCAAAGTACACAAGCGGTTTTCCACCCCCCCGTTCATGTAAGCATCCATTTTTCACTACATAAACCAACATTGGGAACTTTGCGTAAAAAAATATTGTTTTTTCCTACTCCCGCAGCTGTCTTAAGGCTTTTAGATTTACCTAATTTTCTGTTGTAGCAGGATGGAAGTCTTTGTTTTGATCTTTCAAAGTTTGGCTAGCTTGGCGCTTATATAGGACGTCTTCGGTGCAGCAGGGTCTTGCTGCTGAGGACTAAATTTGGCGCCAGCAAAGAACCACAGCGTACCACACACATACACACAACACCAACGCGCTTACGCATTCGAACACACAAGCGGTGGAACAGCAGCAGCAGATGGAGAAACTATTTTGGCCACGTTGAAAAATGGCAGCGATACCAGGCTCTTAACGGACACAGCCGCACAGTGGAAAGTTCTCATGGTGGGAATAGAATGGGCCATAGGTACCACGTGTGATTGACATTGTAACCTTTTCTGTAGAATTATAATGCCTTGAAATAACCTTAGATTTTAATCATGTTGACAAGTTGTGAAACCCAGCATCATTACATATATTTTTTCTTTTTTGAGTAAACAGTATTGAAGCACCCACATGAATTCTACACATTTTTGTTTTGTCGATTTCCTAACCTCAACTTTGAACATGATTTAATTCATCAAAACAATAAAAAAGGTGACTTTGACACATGAATACAGGTTATGCAACTTAGAGTTTGAATACCAGACTTTATTTTGTTTTATAAATACAGTTTGTTTGTCTCAGCAGTCTTGTATTATGGCCAAAGATACTTGCAAATTAAAACTACTTGTAGAAAAAAAGTTTCCCAGCTTTAACAAACAAGATTTTTTTTTTGTAAAACTATTCATTCACTCTCATTTGCATATACTGTGTTATGACATTTCATCAATTATCGTGGAAAAAGAAAACTTGGCAAAAATGTTCACAGTATTCCCAGAGATCTCCCTTCACAATGCTAACCAGGACCTGCCTTGCTTAGCAGCTAAGATCTGACAGGATCTTTCACATGCAGATAGAGCAACTTCTTTAGGCTCAGGAGTCTCAAATGATTGAGTCGGTGTGAATTATTGTTTTTTAAATTACCCATCAATTATCACTGAATGTAAATGTGGACAAACAGACCCTATCAAAACCTTTACTTCAAAACGTAAGTCACAGCAGACAGTCAATCATAATGAAAAGTTTTCAATAAATATAATTCACATCCACTGTCATTTTGCTGTTCAAGATTGTAATTATGAAAACTAACTTTAACAACTCACTACAAAACAGTCATATGGAGGCTGCGTTACACCTACACTATCAAAACACGTTAAAAGCCGTGTCAAATTATTCCAAAGTCTTTCCGATGTTTTGTCGAATAGAATCAGACTCACTTAGTCTCAACAGCTCGGCACTTAGACAGATTAGGTTCACTATTACCCTACAGTATTCTGACATCTATCCCAGTGTGCGGAGCTGCTGACACGGCCCTCCGATGGATCCAGTGTAAATACGAGAAAATGGACAACGATTCCAAAAATGTCTCACAGGCCAGATAAAAAACCCTGTCAGTGTGTTGTTCTTGGGTCGTTATCAGGCTGGAGGTAAATGGGAGGAAGACATCTGTTTGGGATAATATCTGAGAAAGTTTGTGAGTTGAGTGTAGGATGTGGTCTGATACTGCGATTGATGAAAAGCCATAGTTTGGGTTAGCTTCTGAGGTTAAAGTATCATATTCAACCGTCCACTTAACAGAGCAGTGCAATGCAGCAACATTATTATTTAGAAGTGAGATGTAGTGAGATTAGATTCAACTTTATTGTTATTACAAAGTCAGAACAATGCAACAAAATGCAGTTTTGCATCAAACCAGTAGTGCAATAGCGCAAGAATAGGATAATATTTATATTTGCATATATGTGAGACAGTACAAAGCTGCTATTGCTAGTATATACATGAATTATATAACATTACATTAAAGGGCTTTAACAGGGTGAGAGTCCAGGAGTGTGACTGTTCTGCTTTGTGCTATAGATATATAGATTTATTTATATATATATATATGGTCAATAGGTTGCGCTTATGTGACAAAACATGAGGCTATATATTTGCGTGCGAAAGCCGGATGCAGCCAGACATTCAATGCTGTGCAGGGTAGGTCTTGGTTAGTACTGTGATGGGAGACCTCTGGGAACACCAGGTGCTACTTAAGCAGGATACTTTACCCACATTGCCTAGAATGAGTCTGATGTGTGTGCGTGTGTGTGTGTGAATGGCTGGTGGTGGTTGGAAGAGCCGATGGCACATATTGGTTGCCTTGCTTTTGTCAGTGTGCCCCAGGGCAGCTGTGGCTACAATAGTGGTTTATCACCAAGTGAATGAATAATGACATGTGAAGCCACTTTGAGTGTCCTGAAAATAACTACAAAACCAATGCATTTTTATTATTAACACAACATTTCAGAGTCTGGTGATTAAAATTGCTGTAGCTTAAAAATGGTGGTTATATAATGGACAAATTTAACCCACTAGCCCAATGAAGCCCAATAGGGAAGAGCTCATGGACAATGTTTTTCACCAACTTACTCTGGCTCCAATTGACATACATTACAAGTTAACTCCTCTTGCCTACACTCACCACTTTGAGCTTTAAAAATATTATTTCAAAGTAAGATATGAGCCATATCATGACTGATCAGAGGCATTCATTCGCAAAGGAAACTCCAGCTTGCCTTAGAAACCAACCACAAAGCTGACCCTAATGTCACACATGCCCATATAAGGAACTTGAATCCAGCAAACCAATGTTCAAATTGGCTTCTTCTGATTTCTTCAGACATTATGGCTGACGTATGCACTTAAATCGTGACAAGGGTCAAATATATTGTCATTAGTATATTGTTGGTCAGTAGAAATACATTAGAATAATAA